GTTTTGTAAATTAACGTATTGAATTTTGATTTTAGTCACCTTTGAAGTTTCCGTTTTCAGTATTCTGCTACAATTACGAGTAAGATGCGGAACAAAGCTATAAACCAGCGATTATTATAGGAGATCTAAAGTCAATAGGTGCCCGAAAGAAAACAAACACAGTGTGGAACGATTTGAATTGGATATTAATAATTCATGCACTTGACCGTTCGTTCTACGCAGGGTTGTCATTTCTATGTATTTAAATATATCTAAATTTAGAATAAAACCTATATATCATCATCATCACCAGCCTTTTAATGGTCCACTACTGGGGTTCAAGCTTTCGCTATGAATGGAAGAAAATGAAATCGAATAAGGATACTGAGCGTTGATCCACCACGTGGTCCCGATTGGTGAGTATTAACTACGTTACAGTCTGGACCAACGGCTCTACGTAGTTTACGAAGCACGAAGAAACTCGAGATAGTAAACTTTTGGTCACCCATCCTATGGCCGACCATTTCGAAAGTTGCTTTAGAACCGTATCGCAGACCAAGCCCTGACCACTACCTAGATATATCTAAAGTAATTCAATAAAATAGTGGTTGAAATTTGGTGCTTTTTCTTGTCTAATTTCTGTTTCTAACGCTTCTTTGTTTCCTTTTTTCGTGCAAATGTTTAGTGTGTGATATAATTGTGTACTGCGATTAATTATAAACTTTTTATCTATCTATCTAGAGAACTGAGAAGATCGACGGTATAGTTGTTAGTAATTGTTAGCTGCTGTCTGTTATACGGAAATTAAGCAACCTGTGCAATAGCCGATTAAATGATTTTCAAAAAAAATATATAAAATCGATAGAGTTCAGTGTTACAATCGGTTTGAAATGAAAACCTAAAAAAATCAAAGCCAAGAGTAGCCATAAAAGCAATACTAGCGTGGATGCTATGCCATCCAATAAGATTTTAGTCTTGAATGAGCTTCTATACATAGTATAAAACATACTGCCCGCTGTACGTTGTGTAAGTAGAGATCTATTAAATTAATCAACTGATTTCATGAATGATTTTTAGTACTGTTAAAATCTTAACGGTCGATTGAAGGAATTACTTTTATCTTACACATTATGTAAGCTCTCGCTTAATAGTTAATCTGTCAGAAAATTAGATATTAATAATGAAGAAGAAGAAACGAAGAAGAAACCTGCCGCTTTTAATACTTTGCAGATAAGTGATAATATTTTATTTATTAAAAAGAATAAAAATCACTCTCTTGAAGCGGTGGAATAAATCTAAGTGTAAGTAGACAGGTTACTATAAAAAACGGGCATTATCCCCCAGCTTTTACGTTTACGACGTAAAACACTTAACCTTACTTAGTTAAGTTGGGTGATCGCTGAAGATAAAAGGAGGAATTAAGTATATAACCACTTGATCCTCACTTATGACTCTCATTTTTTTTTTTCTAATCTTTCTATGTTATGACGTTCATTTCTTTCGGTCAAGATTATGAGATGTTATGGTATCTTAGCAATTAATTATTCTAGACATGCAGTCTCGACAGAGTTTGCGATCGCAATCTCACCGAATTCGGTCGCTAACTCAAAGCGATCGTTAGATAACGATTATTGCAAATCTCTTCAGTTATTTGTTAAGCACAAACCGAGTGCAACTGTCAAATTAGCGGTCTTCATCAGTTTCCTAGCGATCGAGTTTGACAGCTCGGTCAGTCAACTCTGCGATCGCTACTTAACGATCATTACGAATGTCGAGACTTCATGCCCTGGTTAGTGACATACTAGTAATCTGTTCCGGTATGTCAAGAATGAAATTAACCTGTTAGAACTTATTTATATAGTTTACTTACTAGAAAAATGGAATAATTATTCAATAAATATGTACAACATATCACTTTAATACGACTTCCGTAGCAGTGGTTTGCACGATGGTTTCAAGGCGTCGTCGCCCTATCTAAGGTCCCACGTTCGATTCCCGATCGGGTTAATATAGAAAATAGACTCTCCTATATTTTCTTTGTTTCGGTGTTGTGTTACCTAAGTTGTGTCAGGTACTCTATAACACGGAGGCTTCAGCCACTCATCTTGGAATCTGAGTAATACATGTGATTTTGTTTAGTAATAAAATCTGTAATCATAAAGGTGTCACAACACCCGTATCTGAGAAAATATATGTGTGCAAATCACTTGGCTTAGACGTACTACGTTAGAGTAAGAATAAAATTTATGAATACACTGGATTTTATTTGAAAAAGAATCCAACTAAATATTAATAAATAACTCTACTCTTTTTTATTTTTTCATATCTATACTATTATTATATAGTGGAAATAGTTGGTTGTATGTTTGTTTGGATATACATAATAGGCTCCGAAACTACTATATCGAATTAAAAAAAACACCTACATCATAATAATTATATAATTTAATAGAAAGTAAATCTATTCGGTTCGGTTTCGGCAGACGAATGATCTATTGGTTTGTGTAATACCTACATTGTTGAATTGCAGGCATTAACTTCTTGTCTTGATCTGAGCGATGTATGTGCCGTTGCTTAATAGCTTATGGGTTAAATGTAATTTTATCCAACCGCGCCTCCCTCAGCGTAAATTGTCCCATTTCGGGCTACGCGTGAGTGGATTTAATTTTGTACTACATCCACGTGGGAGATGTATGAGCGCCATTTATGTCATACACGTGTTGTTTTCAAATGAAAATTATATTGTCTACGTTATTGTATTAGCTTAATGACCGCGTTTTGTAAACAACAGTATTATTACGTAATCAGCCGATAAATATTATAGGTCCACTATTTTTATTATGTTAAACGGCTTGAGTTATAGGTTTCTAAATATGAATTAGTTGAGCACGATGGCGCATCTAGGTCCTCGAAGATAAGCGACTTTCGCAAGGGCCAACCATAAGATGGGTGACCGAAAAATACATTATTTCCTTAAAAAATGTTGGTATCTACGTTTATGTTCCGATTTTATTTAAGTTCAAACTTTAACTATCATTCTAATGTGAATGATTCATCATCATCATCATCACTTCAGCCGAGAGACGCCCACTGCTGGACATAGGCCTCCCCCAAAGATTTCCAAAGCGATCGGTCCCGTGCCTCCCGCATCCATGTGAATGATTATGATTGCTTAAAGCAACATTTTGTAGAATTTCTCTCTTTTCAGTTGTTTATTTATTTATTTAATTTTTATTGCATATAACAGCAAACAGCAGACTTAATGCCAAGAGTATTCTCTACCAGTCTATCAGACAGAAAGTAGGATGCAAAATGAATGGCGATAAAGCGAGTAGAAGTACAAAATAAAAAATTAAACACTTATACATAAAATGTTAAATAAATAGATTTTAATATAAACGTATATTATAAATATATATATAAAAATACAATAACATATATACTACATAATATCGGATTAATGGAAAACTAAGGACTATTTAAGTAATGTCCACGCACTAGTCTTTTGAACACACTTTTGCTTTTGACCATCCGAATGTCTTCTGGCAGAGCATTCGTTTCATTTGAAGTCTGTTTAATTTTTTTTTAAGTAAGCAATTTAATATTGCATTTGTGAAATAACTGCTTTTGGTTCACAGATGTACAAATGTAATGTGTTTCACAATTTCTATGTAGCAAATAAGCTGTGTAGTTGTTTGGCAGGCAATAGAAAATTTCTCAAACTGAAATAGAATAATCGTTTACCTAGACAAATTATATAAAAAAATAATAACAATAAAATACAACTAATTACAAAAAAAACATGTTTTACAAAAATCTAGATGCCAAATTGACCATCAGCTCCGCATAATGTTAGGCATAAGAGAAGCGCTAGAGAGAGAAAGGGAGAAGGTGACAAGGTACGCGCGAATATCAGAATTACAATAATTATTTAAAAATATATCAACTAAAAATTATTAAATGAATGAATGAATGAATACTTTTATTGTACACCATATTTAAATAAAAGGATAATCCACACTTATCGTTTATTTAATACGGATGATGACTAATTTTTGTTTGTTTGTCCGTCAGGTAGAGTGTTAAAAAATATTAAACACGTATTTTTTTTTTCGTAATCATAAAATTACGGCGTTACATTGAGTTGAAATTTCGCATGACGTCACGTTAGGGTACGTTTTCTACTCAACTGTGACGTAGCGAGCCCCCACTCTTCAACTTTAATGCCTGTTATCTAAGCTATTTCTTGTTAATTTGAAGTAAAAAAAATACGTATCTAATATTTTTCTATTATCTGATTGACGGACTAAATAGAATTGCATTTTTTTTACCCAGTCATCATCCCTATTATTGTAGAATAAAAAATAAATACAATAATAATAATATAAACAGTTGTTTCGTTCATCCGCAGAATCATACATTATTGTTATGTTGTGGTTATAGTATAACCTGTCAATGTTAATATTTTAAGCTTAAAAGAAATGGTCATAGTAACATTGCGGGGTCCATACCCTATAACTTAAAATCTGCTATCTGTCCGTTTGTCACCAGGCAGTATCTCAGGATCCTTGAAAGTTAGACAGTTGACATTTTTAACAGATGATGTATTTCTGTTGCCGCTTCAACAACAAATATTGAAACTAGAATAAAATAAATATTTAAAGGGGCTCTTGTATGGGAGCCCCTTTAACGTGATATTTTTTGTTTGTTTCTGCTCGATATTGATAACAGATAGGCGTTCGTTTATATCAAGTTTAAAAATAAATAATTTTATTAAAATTAAACAAACATTTAACCGGGGCTCTCGGACAACAAACGAACTTTTGCTCGTTTCGGGTACGAATCTCTTCGTGCGCGACTCCGATTCGCACTTGACGGATTTTTATAGATACAGTATATACGTATTTTATAGATATTAAGAAATCCGGTTTTTTTTAATTTTTTTGAATTGTCGATGGTAGGCCTCCAATGCACCATTATAAGACTGGTGATTTGCAAATAAATGTTCCATGAATACTTACACAACACACTGAGCTGCACCGTACTCCTCATAGGAGTATCCCTTTGTAAAGCCTCGTGTCTCGCTTCACACGTAAAGTCTGCATAGTCGTCGTCCGCTGTCGCCTTAAAGTGTAACCTGTAACAATATCACAAGGCTCATATTAGCTTGTCGAGTGAAATTAATTTAATTATTTTGTGTACAAACAAGACATCGTTTTGTTTATGGCAGTCAATATGGCCGGGAGCGAATGTTAGTTTGTTGATTTTTCCGCTAGAGGAGCCACTATCGCAGGATTTAACTAAATTGGGTGCAAGTTCAAATGCCATTTGAGGCTCACTATTGTAAATTGGTCGAGAAAATGATTATAAAATTTGGTGAAAGGAAAAATATACGCAAAAAGAGAGACTATCAATTTGTATAAAGAATTGATCATGAAAGGCTTTCTAAAGCTTTTGCAACTTTCCGTTTTCGCGTAAAATGTAATATGTTTTTCATTATATCTTTTACATATCTGAATATCATTGATCCGACCCAACTAAATATGTCTCATTTCAGAGATTGCTCAATACTTGTATGAAAATCTAAAGGAAATATTACGTGCAACATTTTATCGTTCGATTAAATAAAACTTTTTCCAAACCTTATTTATGCATTTATAACTCTGGAATATTATACCTCAAAATATTTATTATAAACAGGTGATATTTGAAGTAATATATATTAGCATATACTCATATTATTAGGAGGTAATGTTGCTGGATTTGTTTGTTTGTAGGAAGGTAATCTTCAAAAATACGAAGCTACATCAAGCGAGCGAAGTCGTGGTATGAAATATTCGTGGAAGTCCAAAATATCAATAAAAAAATATCCCTCGTTAGCTCCGCATGTTAAATAATAAATCAAGACTATCTCAACATTGTTTTACATTAAAAAGAACCTAATTTATAATGCAAAAAAGGCGCGAAAGCACGTCCTGAAATGGCGGGCGATGTCAAAACAAAACACTGGCTGGAACTCAGATAGGGAACCGAGTGTCGGTGCGTACGTGTCGCCCGCGATAATTTTGTGAAATTTCAGGACCCACCGACCGGGTAGAGGGAAATTTCAAATTAATTTACTAACTGCAGAACGTATGGATACAATAGTGTATGACTAAATAGTAATGCAACTCGGGGGTTTGCTTCTTTATGCTGTTCTGTTAAAAATAGCATAGTACAACGCTGTGACAGTATAGAGCTTCAACGAAATGTTTATTACCTTTTAAAGTAGGTTTTCTTCGATTGAAACTCTATACTATGACAGCGCTACGTCCGAAGTTGAGCTTAAGGCTGTTTTATAACAGTATCTTACTGCAAAATGCCAAAGCTAAGTCATTCCGTCAAATCTATGTTAGCCTTCAAGCATATAAGTCATTTTTATCACGATCAAGTTAATTTTAAAAATTAAATAAATTTAATCTTTATCTTAACTATCTGTATCGTGTTTTGCGATAACTTCTTTGTTCCAGATTTCCATAACACAAGGACTTAAGTTACTTAATTTGAGATATTAGATATAAAGTTACTTAATTTCCATATCTTCTACGGAGTAAACAGAACTCAGTCCCACTAGGCACGGTCTTACATATTGGTGTGCATGCATCTATTTATTTATTTTATTATACAGTAGGTGATGTAAATACTTATTATACAAATGTGACGTGCACTATGTCACGCAGGGTCGACTGTATAATTTCCATATGTGTTTAGTGAGCTTGCTTTAGAACTGGAATGCCCGACACAGGACTGGTTGTTATATTTATGTACTTAGATGTATGTGAAGGAACTGATGCATAAAACAGTATTCCCATGTCCGTCTCCAAAATTAATTTGTGATAATTTATAAAAATTCTTTTCACAAAAAAATATCATCTATTTGCGCCACAAAACATGTTAAGAGTCTCTCTCTTTCTTAGCTTAATATTTTACTCCACTACTGGTAATGTGGCTCTTGGTAACATTATCATTACGCTTTATCATCTATTTTATATTCTTGTTGAGTAATCGATTAGTTTTAATATCTGTCCATTTTGGACGTACAGTGACCCGGAATATAGCTAGATCACAATAATTTTCAATATTAATTTTCAATAAAGCTATAGAGACAGACTATCCCTGTGTAACAAAAATATATTAATTAAGACTAATGAAACTTTTAAGCATTTTCAAGGATTTAGACTGAAGAAATGTTGAAAAGAAACCTACAGATTAAAATCCACTTCGAAATAATGAAGAAATAAGGCGTGAAACTATTTTGTTTTTTTATTATTCTTAACGACTTTATCATTGTTTCTCTTAACAAGAAACTTCATTGGACTTCGACGGTTACAAAACTAGATTATAGATAGTAAAAAAAACTAGTTTTAGACCTGTTACATATTTAAAAATTCGTATCGATCACAAGTTCGGTGTTCTTGGACTCCGAAGTGTTCCAGCCATCTTGGTCGGTGATTTCTTTTATGTTGTTCATTTCAAAATTATTCAGTTGCTTTTTATTCATTAATATTGATCCGGTAATGACATGGTTTTTGCAAATGTCGTTACTTCTATAAGAGCTGTTGAGTTTCTTTGCTTCTTCTTCTTATCAGCTCAAAGATGTTCTGAACGGGTGTTAGGTAAAAAAATGTTGGACGATTCAAAAGTTTATTTGAATATTTTGACTTTGACTAGACTGAGATATTTGGTACTTCAAAAGTTCTTATAATAAATGAATTGTATGGAGTATAACAAACATGTAATTATATAAATATATTATAATATTTGATATAAACTACTGTTATACTACAAATCTACGAATTCGTCATTAAATTAAGCAAAATGTAAACGAAGACCATTGAGCTATAAATAAGTTATAACTTGTTAAGTAACGACAAAACGGCCTGGATCCTGGCCCCTTCGATTTGTTATAAATAGTGTTGTGTACGCGATATCCGATATTTTATCGGATATCGTTTGACATTGAAACAAAAGCCGATCCATTAGTTAGTGCTAAGTAAAATGAGTACCTCACAATACTCGTGGTAGTTTTAGTTATATTCCATATATAATATATATAAAATCTATTTTAACGATATAGGCAAAATTAAGCTAAACATGTTGTGATTAAATCCAGCGAATTATTAGCTAAATTCTGTTTGGATTCCCTAAATGCTTGAGTTTAAAGTATACCTAAATATTATTTTTTAAGGATTATTTGTGTTATTAGTAGATTCACGGAAAAACTTTTTAGTTTACAATACTACAAAACGTCTAGGTTAAGAGAAATACTGTAAAGACAACTATAATTTTGTACACAGAAACAGAAATATTGTTAACATAAGTTGACATTTTGTAAGCAATACAATTACAGTTCTGTTATTTCTGAAATTGTAATCAGCACTGAAAGTATATTAAACATTACAAGAAAAATTGTATTTTAAAAATCTACAACACGAGTTATGATGAGTACTGAAAATACGTTTGTAATTACAATACAATTAGTATAGAGAACAATCAGTGATGTTGCATTTGCAAAATTTCGCGCGGCTTGGCGGCGATCGAGATGCGGGGGGGTGAGGGGCAGTGAACTTATTGCATAATTTTTCTTTCTTTTAGTCGCGCGCGCAGTGAAGTGACAGTGATAGGATTACTATTATTCTATGGGATAATCGCCCGCCGATCGCTGCCATTACGCTTCCTAATCGTGTTTTATTGTTTTAAAATTGAAATGGACGAAGATGTCAGAAACTTACTTATTGCTTGGGTTCTCAGCGGTTATGTGGATGTGTTCTCTGGTAAGTTTCATTTATTTCATATGTACTCGTCATAAATGATATACGCCTGACTTTTTAGATTACATACATAGGTAATTATAATCACGCCCATATATCGGGGCAAGCAAAGCCCTACGGTGTAATTCATACAAGCGGCCACGTCTGACGAGGGAGCTAGATGTTTTTATTGTGTTACTAAGTAGTGATATGACAAGTGCTCATCAGCCCGTCGCCTCAATAAATTACTTTAAAATGTCCTTTCCCTTCAGTCTGATACTCTGATTTTGGATCTTGCACGGGAATGATGGCAGCTGTTTATCTTTTTCTCCCAGAGCTGCGTATGAGTACATAACTTTGTAAATATACAAAATGTTATGTTGTGAGATGTAGGTGGGACTGGGATATAAAAGTAAATCCTTACCTCTCTTTTAGATATTAGGTACCGGGCTGACTGATCTATATATTTTTTTATTATTATGTATTTTTAATTTCAGAAAACCACATTATGATGGACTGCTTAATGCTGTTGGACTCGCATATTATTAAGAAGCTCATACCACCAGTTGGACATAGAGTAAATTTTATTAAAAATTTAAACAATTGGAAGACCTTGATGGATTCTGAGAACGACAATCAATCCAATCAATCACAAGTAAGAGTTTGATTTACATACTTTTAATTATATATAGGACTTTTGCCCGCAACTTCGTCCGCGTGGCTTTCGTAGCCTATGTGTTGACCCAACCTCATAGTAATATTCATGCAAAATTTTAAGTAATTCCATGCAGTTCTTTTTGAGTTTAGCCCGAACATACAAACAGACAGACAAAAATTCTAAAAACTATATTTTTGGCTTCGATATCGATTGTAGATCACACCTCAAGTATTCTTTTTACAAAATATTCAATGTACAGTTTTGACTTTCCTACGATTTCATTATATGTATAGATATTTGCTACCATTTCCCACTTCAGGCACATTAGGCATTAATCTGTCGCTGCCAAGTTCATGAATCATATTATATTTTCAGATTTCAGAAAATATTCATAAAGACCTTGAGTGGCTTAGAAAATCCAGCGAGCCTTGGAAAACAGTTGAAGAAGAGAAAAGGAAAAATACATTCAAGATTAGACTTGAAGAGACTAAAAATATAACAGTATCTGACTACATGAATGAGCACCCTGTTTTAAAAAAGCCGACAGGGTATCAGCTACTTCTAATTGATTCTACGTTTTAATTAATAAAAGTGTTGATTCTTATTATTGATTGTTATTCTTTTATTTGCATTTTCTGCGGGAACTGTCGTGTATCGACGTGATTGCTTAAAGTTCAGAGCTTTTATTTC